GATGCCATTCTAGGGTCGCCTCTGTGTTAATACTGTCCGTCACTACTGATGTTTTTCTTTATTATACCGTACCTATGTACCTACAATTCTCCAATACTAACCTCCAGGCTTTACTAGGGCTGCACGACTATGGCCAAAATGATAATCGAGATTATTTATTTAAATAACAATATTGAGATCAAGATTATTTCATGATTCCAGAGTACTGAAAAAATTCAGAAAATGTCATTTAGCGATTCCGTTTTTTTTAGTATTAGCTTAATACAGCATTTCTTCCGGGAATAAAAGTACCCAGGCTGCAGCAGCAGGGTGTGTGTGCAGCGACAGGATGGCTCCCCAAAAGGAAAACCAGAACGTCTGTCTCACCTGCGGTGGCTGCTATTAATTTAGGAAGTGCTTAATTTGATATGCAGCCAAAATTGCGATTGCAATTAATATTCCATAAATTGTGCAGCCATAGGCTTTTCCTACAAGACTCATGGGTAGTACCTTTGGTTGTCTGTCATTTGAAAACAGCAAATGTTCTAGCTGTGAAATCAGGTTTCTCTAATCCTCACTCCAAAGCACAGAGACATATACAAGACAAAGCCATCATTTTAAACTTAAAAACTTTAAACTAAAATTAGAATTAACCATCCATAACCAACTGTTGCTACTCACTATGCTGCTGCTGGGTCCACACAGCCATCTTGGCACCGGTGTCAATTAAACCCTGTACCAGTTGACTAAATCCACCTCCACACACAGTTTTAAACCATCTGATGTCTGGGCATACAAACTATACAGCTGTCTGGGTTATATCCTTGTCCTCCTGTTCTGGCTGTTTGAGAGTTGTGTTATTGGAAAAATGAATGTGAAGTGGCGCAGGACCTGCGCTCCAGCTGCAGCTGTATGTTCCCTCAGAGAGGATGTGCAAGCTTGCGACTTTCACAATAAAGAAAAAAACCTGCTGGCTGATTAGGCTTGATCATTTTTTGCTGATTTAGATGTTAAAAATAGCCTGCACAGTCATTTTCGTTTCTGATTTTACAAGAAAAAAACAGCACTGTACCCGTACCCATGAATTTATATTAATATATTTTTTACCCGTTACACAATGTTTTAGCAGTGCAGGACTCATATGTACGGTGGACAGTGAGGGTCACATTAGTCTCAGCTGGTACACATTAAAAAAAAACACAGCGATGCAAACAACGGTGGGACAATCAACTGCAATCAGATCTGTACAGAAAGCAGCCATCATACAACCACTACGACCATGAGCCAGTCAGGCCAAACTACAAACAGCAAGAAGGAGCACGACTGCTTTAGAGTCACTGTGCCATCCACCTCTGATCACTGACTATATCTGAGTTCATTTCCAGTTGTGTCTATATACTGTGATGAAGATAATCGTATGATTGATGACACACTACAATGATTCAGTGTTTCCACAAACAGACCTCCAGCTGACTACAAAAATAAATCACAATGCTAAATATGACTGTGCCATGTAAATATAGATATTCATCATATTAACATCACCGAGATTCACGATTCTTTAGGTCACAATTCGAGTCGATATTGATTTGATTCGATATTGATTTAAATGCTTCGATATCGTTTCAGTAATAAGTCAGTTACAGCTTCGGGACGGTGATTTCCGTCATGTGTTTGCGTGTTGGTATGGCGTATCGTGGTTCCAGTGTGTATACCATCTTCTTAAAACCCCCGTTTTCCACGACACTGTACGGTCGTAGGTCCTTACATATGAAGACGGCCACAGACTCCGTTATCTTCTGTGCGCGGGCAGAGTTTGGCGGCAGTTTGCAAAGGAAAGGATCTGTTGAACGGTCTGTTTTGAACCCACAGGTTTAGCCACGGGTTGCTGCAGAGCATCTGCATGGTGTCGGCTTAAGTGGTTGCGCAAATTTGTTGTTATTGCAGTATTTTAGTACTGCCTGGCACAGCTTACACACTACCTTACTTTTGTCTATTTCCTGTGTTCCGGGTTTACACTGCTTTTAAAGTTGAAGGCGCTAGTTTTACACTGCTACTACCTGCTTCGGTTGCCATGTTGTTGTTGTGTGGTCGAGTGCGGCCTCCGTCCGTACAACGCAGATCACACAAAGGTGTTGCTCACCACGACCCCACTGGCCAGGGGCTTGAATCAATTCAGAGGATTTAATGAATCCATATTGAATTGGGAAAAAATATATTGCAATGCATTGATGAATCGATATTTTTACCCACCCCTAGTGTTAATGCTTCCATTAACCAAGCTGATGTGTGGCTGACAACTCTGGTTAGGTACTAATGGGTAGCAGCCACTCTCTGCACACATGCATAGCAGAGGTTCTATGCTTACAGTTACAGGGAGGGAAAGGAGTCAAGTGATGGAGAGAGAGAGGCAACCTCCATTCATTCTCCTCATGCTTTCTTCTTACGTACACTGTTTTAATGCAGTGGAATTCACCATCTCACTTACGTATGTTTCTGTTGTCAGACAACAGGCCGAGAAATCTGAGCGCACACTATGTCGATCAGGTCACTACCAAGCTGTTGAACTGCAGAGGGAATCATAATTTTATGATCATGACACTATCAGACAAAATAAACTAAAATAAAGGTTTATGGCATGTATTGATAAGTTACAAGTAACAAAATGCTGTCATATTCAAGTACAGCCACAAAGAATCTGTTACAGATTAAGTCAGCTGCATGCTTTTATCTATGTAAAAACAAAAAACAACAACTCTAAACTATATTATATATGTGGCAGCTGGAGAAAACAGTGGACACTGAAAGCATAACAGAGCTGTGAATGAGCTGGAGCACAACCACATAATGCAGCTGGATCGTATGAACATTTGGAGGAAGTGTCTCGCGACACAGAGCTGGCAAACGCAGTGGTTGCACTACGTAGCCACGCCTCCTACATTCGTCGCTCCATAACTCTTCTGTTGCTTTTTTTGTTTTAAATATGCTACGGGAAAGTTCTAGCAGAACTGGATATGCATGGGTCCTGAGGGTGCCATATTGCATATGCATTTTTTTGTTTGCAGCTATGTTTATCATAATAAATCGTGGGCCTGATATTAGTTACATATCAGCAGGTTTTGCCACTGCCTAAAATGTTGACTAGTGATAGATTAGACGGCCGATAATTTGGCATTTTGAGATAATCGTCATCAGCCAATGTCTGCGCATGGCATTTATCGTCAGTCTAATGTATTAACAACATCCTACTACCACCAACAAGGCCCCATCGGCCAATGTGGAGTGAAAAAAATTCAACTCAAGCATGAGCAAAACACACGAACAAGAGAGCATTGCAGCAATGTTAACAAGTTTTAATGCATGGCTGAAAAGCCAACTGACTAGTAGCCACAGGAAACTGGAGTACGTACAGTTTAGATGTTTTTAACCACGTGTGTTAGCTTTACACCGTGATGGAGAGAGGTAAACAGCAGCAGGCGCTTACTGCACACATAAAGGTAAGAAATGCTGTTTGCTGTGCTGCTGCTATTGTACGAGCACAATGAGTCAATCTTATCACACACGCAGCAGGAGACAACGACAGACAACCTATCAATCATTCATACTCTCAAAAAACTGTTGTTTCTGCGATACAGCTCAATATTGTGACGAGCAGGCTGCACAACCATAATCAGCAGTAGCAGAGCAAACTCATGTGTGGCACAGCACAACTGATCACTTGGATATTCTTTGGTTACTCTGACTCACTGTAAGGCAACAGCTCAAGTGTCTGTGTGTGGTTTCCCTCCACAGTGACCCAGGGCAATAGCAACAGTCAAGTGTCCCATAATGCAACATGTGCATTGTTGTGGGTGCATCTCGAAGCAACTTCATTGGCTTATTAATGGAGCATGTTAGCGGATGACACAGCAGAGCCCTAAATGATGTAGACTGGAAAGTTGTAGCAATGCTTTCAGGGTGGGAAATCAGCTTTTTAAAATGTGATCGTCTACCTGCCACTGATCAAATTCACATGGATTTAAACCTTTTGGAGAAACCAGAAGAAATGTGACATGTAAGATGACACACGGCTCTTCCTATACATTTCGTACCTGACTGACTGAGGATGCTGTTTGATTTAGGTGTCAACCTTCAGAAGAGGTTTAATCGTGTTGTAAAGTCAGTTTAGTCAGACAGAGCTGAAAGAGCGAGTTTACAGTAAACAGACACATTTCTCACAGAATTTGGTGTCATGTTCTCTCCATAAAAGACAGAAGAGATATGCTACGATGCTGAAAGCAGCCATGAGGAAAACACCAGGGTAATATGAACCCATTGCGTACGCTACATGTGACTTAAAGCTGCAGTAGGTACATTTTTGTCATATTGACAGTAGTTCATGAGACAGAAAAAAATCTGGTTCCTCTGGCTCATTCTAGTGCTCCAACTGGCATTTACTAGAATCCACCGGGCCTCAATGAAAACAACCAATGAGAGGAGAAAGATGGTTGACGCTTTGGATCAATCAACTGTATTTCTTGGATCTGATTGGTTGTTTTAGTTCAGGCCCTTGAATTCTTGCAGATGCCATTAGGAGCCCTAAAACAAGCCAGAGGACCCTGATTCCTTCACAGATGATCTGTCTCATGTTCTACTGTCAGGATATAGTTAAAGTTTCAGTGAATATGACAATGGTTATTTTTATAAAAAATGACTACTGCAGCTTTAACATTAAGAAAGGAGAGCATGTTTAATGTCTGTTTGGCTCTGAATAAACACAAACAATGACCCCCCAGCGCCACCGTCCCTTTCGGTCCCACCGCGTACAAACACAAATAACATGGGCGTTTCTTGGTCGCTGAACCAGCTAACCACACTAGCTTTGCGAACACAGAAAAGTGCCCCTTCAGTCGCTTCAGCTGCAGCTAGCATGGCTACCAACTTCCCACTCAATACTCTGTAGACTAAAGTAGACCAACACAGAGGTCAAAGCGGACCAGCTACAACATGTGAAACACAACGGGTGATCGGTGTGGCCTTACCTTTTATAACATTACTAAAAATCGTAGCTCTGAATTCTTCTTTGGCCTTCTTATCGAAGTCCTGCCCATGGATAATGCGCATCTGCTTGAGGAAAGTGGACTTGCCGCTCTCGCCCGCTCCAAGCAATAAGATCTTTACTAGCCTTTTTACATACGTCTTATCTCGATTAATACACTTATCTATCTCCTTAGATTTCCGCAACTGTTCTACCTCGCCGCTTGTGAGGAGACAGTTAGGGAAACACACAGATAAGAAGGAGCGGGACGGCAGGAAATCCGCCATCTTTGAAACAACTTCATCGATACAGACAGCGAGGAGGGCTGAGCTCACCCCAGTCCGCTGTTGCGTTCAAGTGCCGTAGGAATCCGCCTCAATATAACTTTCAAGCAGGTTGGGGAGTAACGGATTGAATGTAACTGAGTTACGTAATCAGGATTTAAAAAAATAACAATTATCCATTACAGTTAGATTATAAAGACGTAATGAGATTACAGTTACATTTAGTAGAAGTTTTGATTATTTAGCAGCATTAAAATAAAATTTAAAAAAACAGTTTTTCTGAACTAGTTTCTTCATTACATTTATTTCATTTTATTTTATGTCTTCTTTTATTATTATTATTATTATTATTATTATTATTATTATTATTATGTAATCAAGTTCCATTACTTTAATATTATGATATTTGGATTAGGACTATATTTTTTAAAAGGTAACGTTAATTAGTAATTGTGTCATTACATTACATTTTTTAAGTAACCCTCCCAACCCTGCTTTCCACAGCGTACTTTACCTATTGATATCCAGTCTGTTAATACTAAACTGAAGCTGAGCTGTCAGTTTATATTAATTTTAATTCTTGCTGCTTTGGAAATTACACTGATTTCTTCAATAAACTGAATTCTTGCCATACTTTTTACCAAAGGAAAAAACAATATTAGGGTCTGCTTGTACTTCCTTGAGATTTGATAGCGTTTTTATGTCTTTCACATTAATAGTTACAAGGCGTATTGTATGTGCTCCAAAAAATGTTTTTCCCGATACACATGAACGCAGCACAAGTGAGTGATACAGTGGCAGGCAAGGCGCGCTCACGTTAGAGCACGTGAACGCGCCCACGCTCTAATGTTTGGGCGGGTCGCACGGATTCCTGTAGCAACATATCAGAATTTCTCTGAGTCAGTAGGACACTGATTTCAAAACACCTTCTGCTCTAGACTCTCCTCAGTGGAGGTAAATAAATGGATAAACAAAAGTTAGGAGTAATACAATAAAATAAAAATCATAATTCTGATCTAGCTCATGACCTCATGGCCAAAGTAACCTCTTAAGGCCTTTGTATGGAAGCCTATTTCTGCCAATGTGACGGCGAAAAAAGGTATTCTGTAAGTCATTATAATGAGAAAATTTCTCAAAATAATGACTTAACATCTCAAAATAACATTTTCAATATTTTGAATTAGTATCTCAAAATATTGACTTTGTGATACAATGTCATTATTTTAAGATGCTAAGCCAATATTTTGAGAAAGTGAGACAGAACTATGACAAGCAGCTATAAATATTATTTAAAGGACCTGTGTGTATGATGATTTAGCACCATCTAGTGCTGAAGTTTTAGATTGCAACTAACTGAACACAGCTGGCGTCTGTATTTGACAACCTGGAAATGAGAACTGGCAGGAACAGGCTGGGAAGTGTAGGAGAAACTATAATGGCTGCAAAAGGTTGATATGTTTGTTTTGTCCATTTTGGGCTACTGTAGAAACATGGCAGTTCAACATGACGTAATTATTATATTATTATATTCAGGTGATTATACACTAATGAAAACATACCTATGAATATTATATTCCATTTCTGAAAACACATCCTCACTGGACCTCTTATAATTTGTTTAGTAGACTAATACAGTATTACATAATCTCTAAAAAAAAATTCAAATGTAGCCAATATATGCAATCAACATAATGACATTAATAACATTACATTATTAAAGGAATAGTTTGCATTTGGGGAAATATATTCACTCTCTTTCTTGCAACAGTTAGATTATTCTCTCATGTCTGTACATTATATATGAAGCTACAGCCAGCAGCCAGTTAGCTTAGTTTAGAATAGTTTAAAGGCTGGAGATAGGGAGAAACAGCTAGCCTGGCTCCATCCAAAGGTAACAAAATCCACCTACCAGCACCCCTAACACTCACTAATTAACGCACTATATTTAGTTTGTTAAATCTGTACATAAACTGAAGTGTAACAGCTACACATTGTTGTTTTACTGTTGTAGACTCACTTCAGGGAGCTACTGCACTGGCCAAGAAATAGTTTGTCTTAACCCCCTCATTAAAACTGCAACCTTACACTTTGGTTTTGTTTGGATTAAATGCAGGGCTAAGATTGGTTCCTGCTTTGGATGATGTAATACACTAAACTTTTTCATGTCAACTTAGCCTAGCTTACAATTTTTGTACAATATGGTGGTGTCAATATAGCTAGGAAAGCCATCCATCCTCTTGATGCCCTTGGTCTCTAGTGTGTGTCTGTACAGTTTCATAAGGCTGGGGTTATCCTACAGGTCACAATATGTGCCAGTATGCAGAAATATTCAAATACACACGTTTATACTGCATACAAAATAAACTTGTGCTTACCCACAGAACCCATTTTTATTCGAGATCTTGAGGTCAGAGGTGAAGAGGTCCCTTTGAAAATAGCCATGCTAGTTTTAAATTTAACCTAACTTTGGAGCATTATTTAACCCAATTTTCAACAAACTATTCAATTCAATTTTATTTGTATAGCGCCAACTCATAACAGAAATGATCTCAGGACACTTTTCAAATAGAGCAGGTCTAGACCAAATTCCTTATAAAATTATTTACAGAGACCCAACAGTACCACCATGAGCAAGACCTTGTTGACAGCGGCAAGGAAAACTTCCTTTTAAGAGGCAGAAACCTAGGACAGACCCTGGCTCTAGGTGGGTGGTCGTCTGCCACGACCAGTTAGGGTGTGTGAGAAAGAGAGAGAGAGAGACAGAGACAGAGGTAAAGACATGTCGTACTACGCCTCACACGGGGCTCCATTTATGTCGGGCTCTACAACGTAGGGTGTTAGAGTGGTCTAACTGTATTGGTCATCAATTAATGGTTATCAAAAATTATAATTATCAAAAGATAATAGAAAATGATTTTAATTAATATTAAAGTTCCTCTGGGCACCACCCTTAAATAAGGGAACGATAACCAATAATCGATTGATCAGTCTTATAAAAATTACACTAAACTATTAATTCAGAAGTCAGATTATTAATTAAATAGTTACAACCAAATTCATTAATAATAGCTAAAGTGAGAGCTTTGGAGTTCTACATAGAAGAGGTTGGTATCACTCACTCTTGTACGAAATGAAATAGGCCAGCATATGTAAACACAAACATTTATTAATCAGATATAATAAAAGCAAACAGAGGAAAAATACACAATATACAATCTAACTTAAAGGGACATTGTGTAGTGTTTTAAGTATTTTATTAGCTAGAATCAATGTCTTCATTCATAAATGTGTCCTCATTGGTGTAAAATTACCTCTGCCAATGATCTGACTTATCCTCGTAAGCGAAGAATTTCTTATCTGTATATACATTGGACGGGCAAGTCCATGGAGGCTTCCATGTCTTTCTGCCATTTTGAAAAACTATAATCGCAGAGAGGGACATAAAGCACTAGCCTACCTGTCGAGCTAATCCACAACGCGTTTTCGTTCAGAGGCAGCGTCACGTGACTGAAACCAGCTATAACGGAGAAGGAGATCAGTGAGAGGCGCTTGTCACTGTCCCGGCACATTTGAAAGTCTGCACTGCACTTTAGTTAATAATGGAGGATCACACTTATGCCGAGCCACAGGAGAAGGAATCCTCGTCGCCAAAAAAGCAAAAAAGGGAATTAAAAAGGCAACGTGACCGGCAAATTCAAAAAACGAGGGTAAACATCGGGGTAGCTTTTCCCAGGTGGAAAGAGCTAATGAAGGAGAAAGACTTTCAGAGGGACGCTGAAGTTGCCTGCTTCCTCCTCGACAGGTAGGCTTCTTGGTACATAACGGCTACCGTAGTTGCAATACGCATTTGAAAACGCGAGGCACTAGAGAGCACTATTCGTTTGGATGCAAAATACAATTTCACCGCTAGATGGGAGAAATTCCTACACAGTGTCCCTTTAAAATAACTTAAGGAGTGTGTGTGTGTGTGTGTGTGTGTGTGTGTGTGTGTGTGTGTGTGTGTGTGTGTGTGTGTGTGTGTTACGGGGGTCATAAAAGGTCCTGTGTCCTCCGACCAGATGTTTCAGAGTGTGAAATACGTGCTGGTGAGAGGCAGAGAGAATGAGAGGCGGGAGGTTTTGAATCCCTTTCCACGTGTACTGTATGTACCTAGACCGAATATGTGTGATTTTTAGATTAACAGTGTCTTAGAAAGGGAGTAAGTGTATGCAAAGACGATGTCTGTGTGAAGCATTAAACTAACATCACCTTAGCACTGTCTCAAAGACTACAGTTACTACAGTAACCTCAGTTAATCAAATCAACATCACAATACCACAGTAACCTGAATAAAACACATCAGCAACATTAACAATAATTAAACAGTCCTTGTTTAGCCGTTAACTCTGTTAAGTTATCTGTCTATCCCCAGCATGTTACCAACAGTCCAATGGAGATGAAAAAGAGTTTCCGGTGGCGCTCCTGTGAGCCAGGCTGATCAGAATTGTGGTTCTGAAGTCCAAACAGTCTGTGCGATGTCTGCTGGTGCAGGTATCGCAGGAAAAAGCAGGCTTTGTGTTGTGCTATAATCCTATTGTCGTGTGTCGTCGGTGGGTCGGGCCACACCGAGGTCCAAAACTTATCACCCGGGGGGGTGTGTGAACAGGAGCGAAGGTAGATAAGAAGAGAGAGAGAGAGATGATCATCTCTCTGGCTTAAATAGCCATGATGACAGGTCTGGTGTCAGAGCGAATCTTGACCAATGACCGGCCGGTGTCTGGCTGTTTCATTGCCTTTAAGACACACCCTGGCTTCATTCTGGGACCCCCCCCACAGAGGGGTCTGTTATCTGGCAGGCGTGTTTCCTTTGTCTAAAAGACTACTACAATCAGGCCTTTACTTTTACATACAGGCCTCAAGAGTTTCTGAGCACGTGGTCAAATTCCAACATGTCCCTTCGTGTTTCAATTAAACACTTCAAATGAACAAGTTCATATTTTGGGGTATCCTTGGATCCCAACAGACAGTAGGACAGAGACCGAGGGAAAGACAGAATGACAGAGACAGAGACAAAGGTGCACAGCAACAACTGCACAGAGTAGTGACTGATGGTGAGATGATGATGAACATGAAGAAGATGATGAGGACGACAACAGCCACATGGATGGGGGACAATGAGCAATGATAATAGTAATAATAGTAACCGTAATAATACTACTACTAATAATAATAATAACAATAATATCAGTGATATTAGCAATGGCAGTCAAGCAGGACCATGGCAGGAGGCTCCACCAGGATCCATGAGAACCTGCGAGACGAGAAAACACAAGAACTCCGGGGAAGAAGTGAAGTTAGTAACATGTATTAATGGGACATGAATGAGTGCAGAAAGAGAGCGAGAGGAAGAGTGCATCATGGGAAATCCCCCGGCAGTATAGGCCTATAGCAGCATAACTAAGGGATGGTTCAGGACTCACCTGTTCTACTTTTAGAGACTATAGGAACCACAAGTAGCCCTGCATTCAGAGAGCGCAGTGTTGTTATGTAGAAAGTCACACAACTGTTTGGTGACTACTTTCTCCAGAATCTTAGAGAGGAAGGGGAGGTTAGAAATCGGTCTATAGTTGGCTAAAACCCCTGGGTCAAGAGTGGGCTTTTTAAGAAGGGGTTTAATTACAGCTACTTTAAAGGACTGTGGTACATATCCTGATAATAAAGAAAGATTGATCATATCCAGTAAAGAAGTGCCAATTAAGGGAACAACTTCTTTAAGCAGCTTAGTTGGGATCGGGTCTAATAGACAGGTTGATGGCTTCGATGTAGAACGTTTTAAAGTTGATTCAATTCAATTCAGTTTTATTTGTATAGCGCTTATTCATAACAGAAGTTATTTCAGGACACTTTTCAAATAGAGCAGGTCTAGACCGAACTCCTTACAGCATTATAATTAGTGCTGTCAGTTAAACGTGTTATTAACGGCGTTAATGCAAACCCATTTTAACGGGGTCAATTTTTTACTGCGAGATTAACGTTCGTTTTGACCTAGCACACTTTGTAGTTTTTTTCACATGCTGTTGCAACAACTAGTAACGTTAGAAAAACTACAACACCACACCGGATCTAGCTAGACTGAAAACAAAACAACAGGCACGCCGCACACACTTGTTTAAGAGTAGTAGACGTTACGTTTTGAGTGGATGGCGAGCAAGAGAGGCCGAAATGGATGCCAATAATATTCTGAATGGAAAGTTTACTTTTAAAAAGTTGCCAAATGGTTCCATTGACAAGACCAAAGTGATCTATGTGTTCTGTCGTTGTGAACTGAGCTATCATCACAGCACGTCCAGTCTGAAATACCACTTGATGGCCAAGCACACAGCTGATGTGAATTCTCCTCCCCTCGTCAAAGCCAGGCGACAATGGATGACTTTTCACTAAAAACAACATTTGCACAAAGCAAGCCGATCCACTTTACCATTTTGATAAGGGCATTAAAATGAGAAAAAATAATGGGACAAAAAGAAATCAAGGGACATTTAGAATAGATAAAAATGTGCGATTAATTGCGAGTTAACTATGACATTAATACGATTAATCGCGATTAAATATTTTAATTGTTTGACAGCACTCATTATAATGCAGCTTGATAGCAGAAAAACAGTCTAAATATATATCTGATTCTACATTTGTTAAAATTCCTGAACTTCGAGAGACAGCGATACCTGTTGAGGGCATTTGGTGATTCATTTTGTCTCTAATATGTTATCATAAAAGAAGCTCATAAAGTCATTGCTACTGAGGGTTATGGCTGTGACTCTCTGTCAGCCTGGCTACAGTGCTGAAGAGGAACCTAGGGTTGTTCTTATTTTCTTCTATTAGTGCTGAGTAATAGGCTCCTCTGGCATTACGGAGGGCCTTTCTATAGGTTTTAAGACTATCTTGCCAAACTAGCATAACATTGTTTGTAGCAATGGATGCATTAGGTCTTCTAGTTTCATATACCAGCATCCTCATTCTAGCTGAGCCCGTTACAGCCTCTGAAGAGTGTTGTGACAAATTTGTTAGCGCATCATCTCTGTGTCTTGCAGAGGCATACCTAGTAAACAGTAATACAAGTTTGGATGATATGGCGATTTAATCTTTCGGAGGCACAACAAAATAAAAACTTTTTCCAACAGAGGGGGGTTGCTTATGCCAAGCTAAGCTAACAGCTTCTGGCTGTCGCTTCATATTTATTGTACAAACATAAAAGTGGTATCAATTTGAATATGTACTTTTTACATCCTTCCAATGCAAAATAATAATTAATGAGTTAATTGTATTTTAATATGTCAATGGATTTAACAAATTAAATGTGTGTAACATTAAGGAGGATCTATTGTCAGAAATGTAATAAAATATTCATAGGTATGTTTTTATTAGTGTATAATAACCTAAAAATAAGAACTGTTGTGTTTTTGTTAGCTTAGAATGATACATTTTTTTTATCTACAAATGTCGCAGGTTGCCTATTGTGGAATCCACCATATTGAACCACCATGTTTTTACAGTATCCCAGAATGGACAAACCAAACACTGATTCTAGATAGAAAGGAGAAGGTGAAACAGGTGAGTTGCAATCTGTAACTACACTGCTAGATGCCACTGAATCCTACACACTGGACCTTTAAATACAAAATAATAATTAATTCAAGTTTTTGGTGATCGTGACACACTCCAGGCTCTGTACACAGCCACCAAGTGTTCCAGCTCTCATTTGTCATGGTTCTTTGCGCAAGTTTATTTAAGAACCACCCTCCCAGGCTTTAGGGGGATGAGAACAGAGGCATTCTTCAGCTGATTGGTGGATAAATCCATCCTTCCCATCTTGTCTTACAATCCCCACACAGGAGGAGTGTGTCAAGTCCACTGTAGGCACACACTTCTCTGTCAGCAACTATAGATATAACTGGAATATATCACACCAGGGTATTTATTTTCCCTTTTCTATATCAGATTTGGTCTTCATCGATCTGCAAATATGACAATTAGAACAGTCCGTCCAGACCGGGGACAACATTTCCGGCCCCGCATGCACTGCCTCAAAAAGGTGGGTGGATATTATCATCATTATAAGTAGTAAATAGTTTTATTTAGTTCTTTAATTCTATATAAACTGCTGGTATTTTATTTGTAGTATTATATCCCTAATTTAATTAAAGACAAGTTTTATCACAGATATATTAAGTGATTCAAAAGTTAAACTAGACTTTCTGGATTACCCTGACATTTTCTTTAACTCGTTAAAAAAATATGAAGCACATTCAATTTCCCTATTTCCTACTCAGCTTTTTCAGAAATTAGGATTTTACATGAGGGACCTCAGAGGGTTTTTGTACAAGATTTACACATGATTGGTCTGCCACTAGAAGAGCAGGGCTTGTGAGAGATCATCTCTAATTCCACCTTAAAGCTAATTAGCTTTGGTTAATTAGCAGGTGTCACTGCAGCTGAAATATACTCTACAGTTTAGCAGCATAACCTTCTCCTAAAATGAAATGCTACCGAGGTCACTGACACATTAAGGCAAATGACAGACGGACAGGACAGAGTCAATGACAGAAAGAAACAAGAAAAATGTTCATTTTGACTTTAAAATTTCCTGAATAAGAATTTGACAGGTCTTATAAATTGATTGGATTAATGACATTATTGTTACTTATATAAAGTTGCATTTTTCAGTCTCTTTTAATGTGTTTTGGGGAAAAATGTTGCATTGGTCATGCCATAACAACAACAAAATGAAAACAAAAAACACTTTTAATTGATTGATTTAGATAAGCCTTTTAAGTTGCAAACATTATTTTGATGAATTCCCCTAACTCAATGTAGTACATTTGTTGAATATCATTTCATTAGAAGTTGCCATAACTCAAAAAGATTAATGCAAACTGAATTTGGGGCAAATATTTTGTTTTAGAGTTCATGGAACCTCAACCGATTACCCTTCATATGCTTCGCACTTTTGTTTGCCAGAATGGATGTGAAATAGGTCTTACAGTGCATTCATAATGGTCTCAAAAAGGTCTTAAAAAGTCTAGAATTGAACCTGTTGAAATCCTGATAAAGCATGTTGAATTGCCATGCTTCTTCAGTGGCCCAGAATGGACAAACCAAACACTGGTTGTAGAAAGGGACTTTTTTTTGTGAGTGTGCAGCCACCATAGTTTCTCCTATACAGTATGGACTGTTATTCCCAGCTTGTCAACTACAGTCGTGAGCTGTGTTCAGTTAGTTGCAAAGTGGAACTGTACCACTAGATGCCACTAAACCCTACACGCTGGTTCTTTAATTAATTCCTGCAAAAATAAAGCAAACACAACAGTAAATGATGGCGGTAAACATACGTTACATTAGATTTGAATCATGTGATAGACAGTTTTAAAGTTACTTACACTTACTTACCACACTGGGCACAATTTCGGACTCAGTGTCTTGCACAAAGACACCTAGACATGTGGACAGGTAGCAATGGGAATTAAATATATATATGGCTATAATGGACAAGCTGCTCTACGGACCAAGCTACAACTGCATCATCTAAGGTGGGGTGGCTGTGGCTCAGAGGCAGAGCGGGTTGTTCCTTAATCGGAAGGTTGTGGATTCGATCCCCCTGTCCTGGTGCCACATGTTGAAGTATCCTTGAGCAAGATACTGAACCCCAAATTGCTCCTGATGCCGTGAATGTGTATGAATGTTAGTTTCTGTTCGATGGACTTTGCCATCACTGAGTGAAAGGGTGGATGTGGCATGTAGTGTAAAAGCGCTTTGAGTGGTTGGAAGACTAGAAAAGCGCTATACAAGTACAGGTCCATTAACCATTTATTGCACAAATCTTTTTTATAATATTGTTAATTTCATCTAATTTACAGTTTGCACATTAAGGTATGACATCACTTGTCCCTGTGAGGAATCATTTCTAGGATTGTTTGGGAAGTGAAAGTGAGCTATAACGTTAATTTACATGTAAATCACACGCTACCACTGCTTCACAGTGGTGGGGTGAAAAAGTTAAAAACTTTACTGTAGCAATAGCACAATTTAAAAATCCTCCATTGCAAAAAAAAGTCCTGCATACAGTGATGAAGTTTTATCAGCAAAATGTACTTTAATTTTTTTAACTGCTGTACTGTATAGTTAAACTGATAACATGATATCATATTTTAGAAGTTGATTATTTGTTTGTTTGATCATCAGAAATACAGTAGTGTCTTCCAGTGTCCAAGAAACTTTCACCTAAATTTTCACAGCTGCTACTAAAATGGCACTTTGTGTACATTTTAATCTTGAGGCCTTGTCTTCCATAAAAGTCCTGTGTGATAATGTAGTTTTAATAATGTATTATTTCAGTTTCACACAGAAACCTGGGGGAAGGTAAATTCTAGCACAGGAGTAGGCTACTGAAGGTTGGGCTTTGGGCTAAACTAATGGAGTTGTTATGTGCGCTACACTTAAAGTCCCTGTAAAGGATTTTTGATTTTGTAAAGATTTCTCTTTACAGGATTTTTAATGGAAATAGGCATGACTTCATGGCAATTCTATCCCACAATGCAAGGTATTAAAGCAAAGGCAATCCAATATCGTCTGATAAGCAGGCAAGATTAGCTAACATTCCACTAGTCATCATATCTGCCCAAATGGCCTTAACTTTAATGACTGAAAAAATATTAAAACCTACAAGTTATTATTTTTTAAAGATTCACTCTTTGATTTAAATCCCTAAACTCGACTGTGAACTGATTTAAAGCTGATATGAATTGCACAGTGTTTATGTGGTGCCTCTCTTTTCCTGAATGGTACATGTATGTGACTGTGTTTACTACAGTGTGTCCTCAGTGTTCTTTGATTCATATGAATGAATCCTGGTTGCCGTCCCTCTGCTTTCAGCTGGAGGCCATTGTGGTGGAGATGCAGGACTCGAAAAGTGGGGTCAAGGGCTCGGAGCAGAAACTTAACGTCACTACCATCCCACATGTCATCGCTGGTGAGACATACAAACACACACACATTCACAAAGCATGAGAAAGTTCTCAAGACTCAATATAAATCAATAAAAGTATTGAATTATTTAAGTTATATGTTATATAAGTCATATATTACATAGTTTTCCTATGCAATGACAGAATATTACAGGGTTATTAAAGCCTGCGTACTATGCTTTATAGGGCACTGTAACAAAAACAGGATGTGTATCTTAATAGCTGCATTTACAGATATTTTATATTTTATACAAACAATGTATCAAATGACTGTGAAGTGAGGAACACACCGAGAATTATTAACAACTCTTTGGCTTAGGGTGCTTTTTAGCCTCTTTCAGCAACTAAAGAGCCAGATATTAATGCTGTTTTTTCAGCTTGTTCTGCAAGGAATATTGCATAAAACAGAGTTTTTTACCTAAAGAGTACAATATATATATATATATATATATTTTTTTTTTAATTAGAACATTTCTACACATAAATATTGCCATTTGTCCGTCAAGCTTTCTTTACTGGAAAGCAGGGGCGTTTTCTGTCTTTTTTGACTGGGGGGCTCGAGTAGGGCAGTGACTTATGCAGGGGTCCTATTGGATATTGATCAATTATAAAGCCTTGAACTGTTGTGACTGTTCTTTCTGGACTTAAGTGTCCCTGTTCACTCTAAATTTTAGGTCCTGTCAAAGGCTATGCTCACTTTCTAGAACGAAGACAAAAGATGACTTTAGAATAAGAAAAAAACAGCTTTGCATTATTTAAAGCACAGACTGAGTGAAGATACTGACGGGCTGCCTTGCTGTCTAAGCCGCTAACACAGGCTAAATAAGGCAGCCCACAATTGGATGAGATCTGGACAGTGCTTTAGAAGCCAAAGTGGATTTTTAATCCGGCCTAAGAACTGCGAGGGAAAGGTCAGGTCAAGCAACAACCTCTGTAGCTGACAAATGAAGCCAACACAAAAGTAACAAAAACTGCAGTTCCTTTAATGGCCACTTGAGGCTGGCTCCAGCAGTGAGTCAATCTCCATAAGGCCCCATATTAACATGCCCAACTTTACAGCTGAATTTTTATTAGAACTCACTCGTTTAAAGGCTTAAATGTATGCATAATTAAGGGCGTGGGCACTTGAGAGACAGGACTGCCAAGATGGTGAGAGCCAGAGCCAACCACACTGAGCTTCACAATAGCATGTTATACTGAAATTAGCATTTAGCTCAAAGCACCGATGTTTCTTTTTTACCTTGAGTTTTGTAACGCAGTGTTTGTTTAAATGCAGACTTAATTAACTAATGTATGACAACTTTTATTAATGATCAGTTTATGAACTGATTATAATCAAACACAGGGTTAAGGTATGTAATTATTCTTGTGGCACACTCCACACTCCACACTCCACACATCCTGAAACGTTTTAAAGAAAAACTTTAAAATTATTTTCAGCCATTCTGATGCCATAAATGAGTACGTACAAATACAAATAGTTTGAGGAATAGCAAGACATTGAGGGTTTGTTGAATAAATTGAATAATTTAGTACAATGAGTACAGCTGTGGCTCAGAGGAAGAGCGGGTCATCCTATAATCGGAAGGTTGTTGGTTCGATCGCCGGCTCATGCCGCCACATGTCAAAGTACCCTTGAGCAAGATACTGAACCCCAAATTGCTCCCAATGTTGTGCATCACTGTGTGAATGTGTGTGAAAGGGTGAATGGGGCACGTAGTGTAAAAGCGCTTTGAGTGGTCGAAAGACTAGAAAGGCGCTATACAAGTACAGGTCCATTTACCATTGACCATATGCTCTCAAGTCTCTAAAGACCTGAAGCATACACTTACAGTTGGACTTTGACTGGTAGAAAAGTGATGCACATCCATCCAGAGGCTGGAGTGTATTTTATTAACTGTGTGTGAGTGTGTGTAGTCTGTGTAGTGTTTGAGCTTTTGTGTGTGTTTCGACACAGGTAAGGACATCATTGCATGGACTGCCAACAAGATGAAGACCACTCCAGAAGGTACAACACTAAAATCAAAGATCAGTTACTAAAACGTGACCACATATGTTGTTCACAGCCTCCTCCATTCATTCCCTGTTACTGATTGTGTTCCAGAGGCCCAGGCCTTTGGCACCATGTTAGTGGCCTATGGCTACATCTACCCTCTGCAGAACCACAAGAAGCTGGTCATGTGCAATGATGCCAGCCTCTACCGCTTCCAGGTACAATTCTGACTTCTCTTTGTTTTGTTAAGAACAAATTGTGTTGTATTGTTAAGATAGAAAGACACTTCGTGTTGGTGGGCTGTGGCTCAGAGGTAGAACGGGTTGTCCACTAATCGGAAGGTTGGCGGTTCGATCTGAGTATGAGTGTGTGTGAATGTTTCCGTTCTGGTGAGCAGTTGGCACCTTGCATGGCAGCCACTGCCATCAGTGTATGAATGTGTGTGAATGGTGTGCATTGAGTGGTCGAAAGACTAGAAAGGTGCTATAAAAGTACAGTCCATTTACCCTTTGGTGGCTTGAAGATAACTGATTGTTCAGTCTCATTCCCAGCATCAGTATTTGATGACCAGGGAATGTGACTCAACAATCAAGTTTCTTGGCTCTGATTGGTTGTTGTCATTAAGGCCCGGTTGATTCTTACACTACTCCTGCACTAGGAGGAGGCCAGAGGAAGCTGATTTTTTCACAGATTATCTGTCTCATGTACTACTACAAAAAGTTATTTTCATAAAAGTTATATACTGCAGCTTTAAATGTTCGAAGAGTAGAACATTTAAGTCCGGCCAGAAAGTTGTGATGTCCACTCATCGCAACCTTTCTGTGTAATATGAAACTTGCTTTATTTCAACGATGACTATTCGCTCTATTGTGAATGGAGCTACATGGAGATACTGGCAGGAGTATCTGAAGACTTTTATAACTCTCTGAAAGCCCAACAGAAATGATATGACACCTTCTGACATGTCAGCAGCTCAAAATCATGTTTATAAGTAATTCTCATAAAGTCAGAAAGAGCCATCAAGTACAACACTAATAAAACAATGTAAAGTAGGGTAGTAGGTCTCCAGTACCCCAAACAGAAGAGTAGGAAAGTAACAAAACCTGAACCTGAAGCTTTATGTAACCTAAACTGCAGCCAAAACCTGATACTGTGTTCATTAATAGATCACACTGAATCACTAATACTTCTCCAATCTAAACCTTTTCAGACGCCATACTTCTGGCCTACACAGAAATGGGTTGCAGAAGACACTGACTACGGTGGGTACAGTATGTCATATGGGGTTGTGTAGTATGACCCTGATAGCAGTCTTCTCTGACTGTGGGTGAAATTGTGTGTAAAAGTGTATAATACTTTTTCTAAAGTATAATTTTGTTTTATTCTGACTATAGCCATTTACCTGGCAAAGAGGAACATCCGCAAGAAAGGCATGCTGGAACCCTATGAACAGGTTTGTGTACGGGTATATAAATAATTGTGTTTGTATGTGTTTGTGTATGTGTAAGACAGTGGTTCCCAAAGATGGGGGTCCGAAAGTTTCACAAGGCCTTATTGAGTGTAAGTAGGGCTGTATCCCATCTCGGCCCTGACAACGTCCACCTGTGCTCCTGTGCTAGGCTAGTGTTGTCCCACAATTCCCCAGTGCTCCCAGTCCAGGAAGTCTCAACCAATAGGACTGCTAACTGCACAGCTAACTGAGCTAACTAACGGCAGCTACAGTTAGCAGCAGCTAGCGGTTACTTTAGCTTACGACAGGTGGCCAATTCTTGCATATATCTCCTTTCATGTGCTGCAATGAGTGAACCAACTTCAGCTTCATACATTTAATACAATGCAGTACACACACAGTATTTCATGACTTTTATGGCTGATTGTCTCACAGCTCTTTTTAGCGTGTCTTTATTGTTTCTTCTTACTAGATGTACATCAGTTTGGTTCTCCATAGACAGATGGTGAGTGATTTTCCTAACGTGCTGCTCAATGTTGTCACTATACTTGTGTTTTAAACAGGCACATTACAACCACCTCCATGAATGGCTGAACCACAAATGGGACTTTATCGTGATGCAGGCCACTGAACAGTACAAGTAGGTGGAACCATTACAGCTATTAGTACTTTCTCTTTTTCTAACAAGTAACTGGGATCGAACTGGGATCGAACTGGGCACATTCGGATTATGCATCTTAAAGTCTCCTTCAGTCAAAAATGTATTTTGCTCATTGGCTGTGATGTTGCTGACTTCTGCAGAGTTTGCTTTCACATTCATCAACTAAAGGAGGAAATCTTCTCTGTCCTGACCTTAATTCCCAAATTTAAAGACGTATATGTACCAGCAGGATTGTTCAACCATTGTGATCAATTAACCATATAACACCTCTTACTGTTGTGCCAGTGCCATTCTTTGCTCTTCTTTCAATGAAGAAATACTCACCAGTACTGATATCATCAACCCAGATGGTTCCGTATAACAAACCACCTGAAGCAGTCAGATTAGGATTCCCCTCCAAATCAGACAAAAAGAAGCAGTAGAAACATTATCGCTTTTTCCACAGGGGCTGCCAGAATCACCATAAAATGAAAGTTCCTTAAAGGGGCTTTAAGTAAACAATCTGTCAATCTGTTTAAAATTTTGGTAAATTCTTAACCCCACTTCTATTTTTTTTTATGTTTCTGTGTGTGTCTGTGTGTGTGTGTGTGTGTGTGTGTGTGTGTGTGTGTCTGTCTGTCTGTCTGTTTATGTGTGTAAGGGCTGGTAAGGAGAGGAAGAAGCCGGATCGTGTGGTGTTTGACTGCCAGGAGAGGGCTTACTGGATAGTGAACAGGCCACCGGTCAGTGTGTGTGACGCTGTGTGTTAGATATATATATAATATAATACTTGCTGTACATTTATCATGAAGCTGTCCTGTGTGTTTCCAGCGTCGTACTCACAGTGCTATGGACGGTGGTCCAGATTGTCTTTTTGATCCCACTGCGGATGAGGTAACAGGTCAGTATACACACACACACACACACTCACACACACAAACAACAGTGGAGAGATTGAGGTCAGCTGGTCTTTTAAGAAACTTACTGGAGCTTAACATGGAGAGCAGTACTGCTGGACTGATCTCTGTAGACATATCCACTTAGAGACTAGAACCTCCCACACTCTCTTACTCCTTTCCTTGCCTTTCCCTTTCTCTCTTTTCCTTCTCCTTCTTTAACGTTCACACACCAAAAAAAATCACAGTTTCAGGCAGTCCAGTCGGTTTTCAGATTTGAAAACTCTATTAATGCTGGTTTAAGTTAAAGGTTGAGCTTTGTAGAGTTTTTTTTTATCAGATCACATTTACTGTCAGGATTTCAGATTTAAAATGCTCTGATTACACTGCTCTCATTGACATCTGCTTCATAACTTAACATAATTGTGAAACTGTCAAGGAGGGTTGGAGATAACACTGAGGTTATTGATTATAGTAAAATGTGAAACTCATCGATTTTCAACTCTGTTTCAAGTTTTGGCAAAGCTGCTGCTTGTTCTTTCTAAGAAATCTTGTGTGACTTAACTTTTACTGTTCCATTATACATTGTAGGCAGAGGTGGGAAGTACAAATACAAAAGTTACTGTACTTAAAGCTGCAGTAGGTAACTTTTATAAAAAATAACTTTCTGAAATTGAAACTTTCACTATATCCTGACAGTAGTACATGAGACGGATAATCTGTGAAAAAATCAGGTTCCTCTGGCTCCTCCTAGTGCTCCTAATGGAATTTGTAAGGATCCACTGGGCCTGAACGCAAACAACCAATCAGAGCTGAGAAAGATAGTTGTTGAGTCTCATTCCCGGGTCCCAAGGCTAACACAATCATGGTGTCTTTTGGCTGAAGCCCTTCTACATGTAGTTCTCATGTCATTCATTGCATTTTCCCTTGTCTTGTCTTTCTGTCTTTTCAAACAGGTCTCCTTATGCTGATGAAGATAGAGAGTAAAGCGTTACAAAATAAAATAGTGTTCAGTGTCATTTTTGTGTGAACTACATTTGTATCAGGGACTACGGGTGGAAAATAGCAATTTGCTAAAACCCGGTGCAATGCATGTCTCCTTGTTATATGCAGGGTTAATGTTTTATTGTGCACTGTCCCTGTTCAAATAAAAGAAATAATAATAATAATAATATAATTGTGTTTCATGTAGTCTTAAAAAACGGTCTCTCCAGGGAATAGTGACGTTAGCATGTGTGTTTGCAATTGTGTCTTAATTCCTACAATAATTCTATGGTAAATTTGTCATGTGGGAATTTGTTTTAGAAATTGTACTTTTCTACAGAGGCCCTAGGGGGATAGTTTTTCGTGTGTATGAGTAACTTTTTGTTTTGGTTGCCCATGTTCCCTTAGGGGCTCTGTACTTTCCTGCAAAAAAATATAAAAAAAGTAAAATTTAAAAAGTAGACCAGGTCAATTTCAACAAGCCAGTTTAGACTATTTTTTACTTACACTATGACCATAGTAATTTTTTATGGAAACCCTAAAGGGCCATGCATTCATACATTTTATTTCCTCCGTTTTCCCGTGATAACGAGTTAATTTTCTCGAGATCTCGAGATAACGAAATAATTAATTCGAGATCTTGTGATAATGACTGTAAAAGCAGGTACAAATATGGAATTTTATTGTTGAATTTCTCCAAATTGGTGCAGTAAAAATGCTTGATATTAAGTATACTTGTATTCTTATATGTGTAGAAGTCAAATATACCATCCATAGCCAGGAATTATTGAGCAATATGTTTTTACTGTACCTCAAATATGAGAAAAGATGCCACTTGGAGGTACAAATATGGAACTTTTGTTTTGGCATTTCTCCACATTCTTGCAGTAAAAATGCTTGATATTAAGTATGTTTTTTATTCATCATGGGCGCATGAAACACTTTAATGTAACATGTTTTATTTTAAATTATAGCTTACTTTTCTTAATACCTTTATTTTGAAAACCGGAAGTGAATACGCTGTAAATTTAAGTGCGGCTGATTTGAACACGGAGATCGGAGTAACGGCTGGCTTGACCGCAGTTATCATATCACAGTCATTACCTTGCGATCTCGGGAAAACAAAGTTTTCGTTATCTCGAGATCTCGAGAAAATTAACTCGTTATCACGGGAAAACAGAGAAAATAAAATGTATGAATGCATGGCCCTTTAGGGCTTCCGTAGTTTTTTCTGAAAAGATATAGATTCTTGGCTGCGATAATCACCAAAAGGTCCTTTACCCTGGAGCAACAGTTTTTTTGTTTTGTTGCTGTTGTTATTTTCCACCTTTCTTTAGCCATAACACCATGGGTAGCATCAGCATGTCCCTCAGTTATATTTACATATATACATGCTTTTATAAATGATATAAGACAAATAAACTAATAACAATTTTTTTTTCTTCTTGTCTTTCAGAAAATCAGCTTTGACCAGTACAGACGCAAGGTAAGTCATAGTATTTCATAAGTAATCTGATCATAGTACCATTGAATCTCCAAATGTTGATGGTTTGAAACTGTAATGTCTGTCTATAGATATGAGAATTTTACAAAAAGTTTTTGTTTGTTCAACTCTGTCTTAGAACATGTTCTATCAACAAGCCATCATGAGGTCAAAGGTCAAATCTAGCGTGTCCCTTGGAGCGTAAGTTTCTTATCTATTTGGAAACATTTCTAGAGGTTCAAAAGAATTTGAGGCATTTTCTTGTAATTTTAGTGATCAGTTAAACCACTGGTTAGACCAGTTGAACACTGAAACAGAGGCTCTGTGAATTCTGTCGGTCTCATAATAATTCTGGTACTGCAGACTGGTCAAGTACATCACAACCTATAAAAACCACGACCCGTTCCTGGCCCCCTGTCTACCCAGCAACCCCTGGCAAACAGACAATGACGCATACTGGACTCTCAACATGAGAAGGTGAGGCCTGCTGCTTTTTCTCTTTCTGTCAAATAATCAAAGTTACTTAAATTTCTCAATCTCAAATCAAAACTGTAACAGCACATCTCTACACGGGAATTACATTGTGAGCTTCTGTTTTAGATTTGGGTGTAAATCTACTGAATTGCTCTACAGCACAAAATAGGAAGAGCACGCTTTTGAAAACTAATTTTGTTTTCCTGCACATAAAATTTGTGTTCCCTCTGACCCATAGAGGAGGTCTGGGCTGTATTATGAAGCACTTTGGATGACTGTGTTAAAAAGGTGCTATATAAATAAAGCTTTACTTACTTACTTACTTACTTACTCACTTTCTTTCTATTATGTAATGTTTGTGTGCAGAGTTGATGTCCCCACTAAGATGCGAGTAGAGCGCTGGTCCTTCAGTTTGTTCGAGCTGCTGAGCGACCTGCGAGGCCGAGACGACTTCAAGAGCTTCCTCAAGAAAGAGTTCAGTGGTACGTTGTCAAATGTTGTTAAAGTTGCTAACTTCTTCTCCGTTCCTGCAGTTAGCAATCCACCCTCTCCTCCCCACATCGCCATGCTGAAATGACCAAATTTAGAGAACAATCTACAATTTCCTAAATGTCAAGGTCACTGCATAGTCCTATTTGAAATGATCAAGACAGGAGTAAAAGAGTTGTATTTTAAGCATATTTCATGAGTTACATATTTTCTGAAGCACAGTATAAAAACTTTAATGACATATTTGAAAAAGAACATTGATCAAAATTAGAGAACACTTTCAGATACCTCCCAGTTATTAGTGTTAATCTGGCACCTGGTGCTAATTTCCTTAATTATCTGACAAACCCTATTTAACTTTCCAAAACTCTCCAGTTTTCACTGACTTTGCAAGATGGTGAGCTGTTCTAAAGTGACTGAAACCCTCTGGCAGCAGGTTGCCAGATGAAGGCCAAAGGGATGACCCTATCAGTCATAGCAAGAGAAGTTGGTCGTTCCAAATCTCTGATTTCTAGAATATTGCATCTTTACAATGTCACAAACTCATTCAAGCCCCCAAGAAGGCTGGTCATCCACGAAAACTGTGGATGACACTTGAACAGTGGACCAAAATCACACCAGAGCAGAGACTAGTGATGTCCTGTGGCCACAGATGTGCTGAAGTCATTCAAAGCAACAGCCTGTACACTTCCTACTAATTGTTGGCTGTTGTAACCTTCAGAAAGTGTTGTTATAATATTTCTCCGTGCTACAGTCATTGCTGTTCTCTAAGATTACATTATTTCTGAAAAAATGTTCCTCAATTGTTCTTCAATTTTGATCTCTAGTGTATAGTCACATTTTAAGTTCTCTAGCTAGCTAGCTCTAGTGTTTTTCTAACATAAGCTTTCAGGTGTAACTATATAGCTAGCTAACGTTTTTGTAACATTAGCTAACTAAAGATGTGACTATATGTTGCTTTTATATTTTAACCATCTTTAAAATGTGATTATCTTTTAAACATAGATTAGCCTAGCACACAGCTTATCTTAGTACAGGAAAGTACTAGAAACTGTCACTGGAGCACAGAACAAAAAGAGTTGGGACTTATGAAGGGTAAATTGTGATATTGCTGCTCCTCCCACTGTTTCTATATGCAAACACATGGATGTAAAGACATGCAGTGTGTGGTTCCTTCAGTGGACAAACAGGCTCTTCCACAAAGATCACAGTATTTTTGGTACCAGGGATTGGGTGTCCAAATGAATATAGTTATTTTTGTGTGTGTGTGTGTGTGTGTGTGTGTGTGTGTGTGTGTGTGTGTGTGTGTGTGTCTGTGTCCCAGGGGAGAACTTGGCTTTTTGGGAGGCAGCTGAAGAACTGAAGTGGGGCACTTCATCTTCCATGTCAGCAAAAGCAGAGACCATCTTCAAGTAAGACAAATAAATTGTACTGCTTATCTGTGTGTGTGTGTGTGTGTGTGTGTGTGTGTGTGTCTGTGTGTCTGTGTCTCTGACAGACCCCAGTCTGACTTAGGCTACCTTCGGGGACACATGACTAAAGACCAATGTCGGCTTGTCCAATTGGGGACAAAACCTGTATCCCCAAATTGGGATTTGGTTAAAGTCAGGATAAGGGTTAAGGTTAGGCAAGCAGTGGTTATAGTTTGGGTTAGGGAAAGTCTTAGGGCTGTCCCCTTATAGTCAACTAAACTGGTGGAATCCAATGTCACATACTACTGTAAACAGGCCTCACATGTACAAGTGTTGTGTATCTGTCTATATACAGTACATACAGTATGTTGATCGTGCACTTTCAGTTTGCCATGAGTCAAATTCCCTCTTAAAATAATAATAATAATTAAAATGTAACTATTACTAGAATGACAAACTATAATACTATAACAACTAAATGTTATACCTTATAAAATTCAGCATTTAAGGTTACATATTGAAGATCCACTTGTATGTTTTCTCAGAGGATGTGCAAGCTTGCAGCTTTCACAATAAAAGAAAATCCTGACGGCTGATTAGGCTTGATGATATTTAACTGATTTAAATATTAAAAACCCTGTGCAGTCATTTTCATTTATCATTTCTTCACAAAAACAACACATTTTCATTCTCACCCGCTGGCCGCCTGCCTTAAATTAGTTTATTTTTAAATTTAGTTTACCTGTGCCGTAACCGCAAATTTATATAAATATATTTTTTACCCGTACACAATGTTTTTGCGGGTTACCCGCCGCATGACTCTGAACTGGAGCACCAGCATCTCCAAAAGAACGGGCCAGTAATAAAAATCTTTCCACAGTCCATCCAACAATCACCAGCACTGGTTTGGTTGAAATAAACCCCTAATTCACAGAGTTAGAGATGAAAATATTTGTGGAAAGGGCTGAAAAGGCCGCAACATAAGCTAACATTAATCCTTGGGGAAAATTTCAATTAAATTTTATTTGTATAGCTCCAATTCATAACAAAAGTTATCTCAGGACACTCTTTAAATAGAGCAGGTCTAGACCGTACTCCTTATAACATTATTGACAGAGACCCAACAGTACCACCATGAGCAAGCACTTGGCGACGGCATCAAGGAAACATTTCCTTTTAAGAGGCAGAAACCTCGGACAGACGCCGGCTCTAGGTGGGTGGCTGTCTTCCTTGACCAGTTATGGTTAGAGAGAGAGGGGGAGGGGGGAAATAGGGTGCTATGAGCTCTTTAAGATATGAAGGGGCCTGACCATGAAAAGCTTTACAGGTGAGGAGGAGGATTTTAAATTCTATTCAAAATTTTACAGGAAGCCAGTGCAGAGAAGCTAGTACAGGAGAGATGTGATCTCTTTTTCTAGTTCTTGTCAGTACTCGTGCTGCAGCGTTCTGAATTAATTGGAGCATCTTAATGGACTTATTGGGGCAACCTGATAATAAGGAATTGCAGTAATCCAGCCTAGAAGTAACAAATACATGGATTAGTTTTTCTGCATCCGTCTGTGACAGGATGTGCCTAATTTCTGTAATATTACTTAAATGAAAGAAGGCAGTCCTAGAGCTTTGCTTTATGTGGGAATTACATGACATGTCCTGATCAAAGATAACTCCAAGATTCCTGACAGTGGTGCTAGAGGCCAAGTTAATGCCATCTAGAGCAACTATATCTTTAGACAGTGAGTCTCTGAGGTTTTTGGGGCCAAGTACAAGAATTTTGGTTTCAGTTTAACATCAGCAATTTGCAGCTCATCCAGGATTTTATGTCCTTAAGACATGTTTGTAATTAGACAAAGATAATTGATTAATTCCATCAGGCTTGATCGATGGATATAATTGTGTGTCATCTGCATAACAATGAAAGTTAATGGAGTGATTATCCTAATAATGTTGCCTAAGGGAAGCATATACAAACATACATGGGGGGCGGCTGTGGCTCAGAGGCAGAGCGGGTCGTTCCTTAATCGGAAGGTTGTGGGTTCGATCCCCGGCTCCTGGTGCCACACGTCGAAGTATCCTTGAGCAAGCTACTGAACCCCAAATTGCATGTGTATGAATGTGAGTTTCTGTTCGATGAACTTTGCTATCACTGAGTGAATGTGTGTGAAAGGGTGAATGTGGCACGTAGTGTAAAAGCGCTTTGAGTGGTTGGAAGACTAGAAAGGTGCTATACAAGTACAGGTCCATTTACCATTTACAAAGTAAATAGTATTGGTCCAAGTACAGAACCTCCATGACTAACTGAAGTATTGATGGAAGATTCATTGTTAACATGTACAAACTGAGAACGATCTGATAAGTATGACTTAAACCAGTTTAGTGCGGTTCCTTTAATGCCAATTAGATGCTAATTAAACGATACAGAAACAAGTCCATTGTCTGAAACATTTAAAAGGTTGTTATGAACTTTAACCAGTGCTGTCTCTGTGCTGTGATGAACTCTAAATCCTGACTGAAAATCCTCAAATAAGCTGTCGTTTCGTAGAAAGTCACACAACTTTTTGGCGACTACTTTCTCCAGAATCTTAGAGAGGAAGGGGAGGTTAGTATGACGGAGTATTAGGGCCAGACTAAGAGAAAAAAATATTATTTTTGGGGGGGAAATTACGAGAATAAAGTCATAATATTAGGTCTACGAGAATATAGTTGTAACATTACAAGAATAAAGTTAGAAATCGGTCTATATTGGCTAAAACCCCTTTTTAAGAAGGGGTTTAATTACAGCTGACAATAAAGAAAGATTGATCATATCCAGTAAAGAAGTGCCAATTAAGGTTATGACTTCTTTAAGCAGCCTAGTTGGGATAGGATGGTTTCGATGTAGAAATGATTGAAGTTAATTAATGAAGGTCGATAGCAGAAAAACAGTCTAAATATATATCTGATTTTACATTAATTAAAGTTCCTGAACTTGGAGAGACAGTAATACCTGTTGAGGGCATTTGGTTATTCATTTTGTCTCTAATAGTAATAATTTTATTATAAAAGAAGCTCATAAAGTCGTTGCTACTTAAAGTTATGGGGATATGTTGCCAAGTGCTTGCTCATGGTGGTACTGTTGGGTCTCTGTAAATAATGTTATAAAGAGTTCGGTCTAGACCTGCTCTATTTGAAAAGTGTCCTGAGATAACTTCTGTTATGAGTTGGCGCTATACAAATAAAACTGAATTGAATTGAATTGAATATGTGGCTCAATAGAGCTGTGACTCTCTGTCAGCCTGGCTACAGTGCTGAAGAGGAACCTAGGGTTGTTCTTATTTTCTTCTATTTGTGCTGAATAATAGGCTCCTCTGGCATTACGGAGGGCCTTTCTATAAATTTTAAGATTATCATGCCAAATTGAGCGATATTCTGATAATTTGGAAGAGCGCCATTTCCTTTCAGATTTCTGCGCTTTTTGCTTTAATAACACAATAGAATCTAATGTTGTCCGTAGTGAGCCTGCAGCACTATTAACAAGATGATCAATTTGGGAGGGACTAAAGTTATTATAGGACTCTGTTATATTCAGACATGGCATTGAATTAAACATTGATGGAATCTCCTCCTTAAATTTAGCTACAGCACTGTCAGATAGACATCTGCTGTAGGAAGTTTTGCCTAATGGTTTATAATCTAGTAATATGAATTCAAAAGTTGTTAAATAATGGTCAGATAGAAAAATATTTTGTGGGAAGACTATTAAATGTTCAATATCAATGCCATATGATAGAACAAGGTCAAGAGTGTGATTAAAACAATGAGTTGGTTCATTTACACTCTGACAGAAGCCAATTGAGTCTATTAATGATATAAATGCATTACTAAGGCTGTCATTGTCAACATCCACATGAATATTAAAATCACCTACAATAATTACTTTATCTGATTTAAGGAGTAAACTTGATTTCAGAGTATGGTCCAATAGCGCGGTACACTATAACAAATAGAACTGGCTGCAGTGTTTTCCAGTTTGGATGAGAAAGACTAAGAACAAGGCTTTCAAATGAATTATAATTTAGTTTAGGTTTAGGGTCCATTAAAACCCTCAAATCATATATAGCTGCTACTCCACCTCCTCGGCCTGTGCCTCGAGGAATGTGAGTATCAATATGACTGGGCTAACATATATGACTTAGGCTAACATACTCCTCGTGGGACAAGCAGGTCTCAGTAAGACAAAGTAAATCAATGTCATAATCTGATATTAATTCATTCACTAAAACAGCTTTAGAGGACAGAGACCTGATATTTAACAGTCCACATTTCATTCTCTTATTTTGTGCTACTGAGGAGTTGGTTTTAATTTTTATTAGATTTTTATGTTTAATTCCTCTTGTTTTTATTTCTTTAAATAAAAAATGATCAGCCATGCAGTGTGATATTGATGTGGAGTGACTGTGTCTTCAGGACCTTCCTGGCCCCGGGTGCCCCCCGCTGGATCAACATTGATGGCAGAACAATGGGTCTGACAGTGAAAGGCCTGGACCATCCTCACCGCTACGTGCTGGAAGCAGCTCAGACACACGTCTTCCTGCTCATGAAAAAGGTGTGTCTGTTATTTCTAACCCTCTTGCTAATAATGTCTATAAGTCATCTTTTAGGGTGCTTCATTATAAGTGATAAATGGTTGATATGAGGATCTACTGGCATTTCTGGCTCTCCGTTTGGACAAAAAACTTATTTAAGGTCCAGTGTGTAACGTTTTGTAGAATCTATTGTCAGAAATGGAATATAATATTCATAGATATGTTTTCATTAGTGTATAATCACCTGAAAATAAGAATTGTTTTTGTTACCTTAGAATGAGCTGTTTTCACCTAGAGTGGGGTCTAGAGTCCACCATATTAAACCGCCAAGTTTATACAGTAGCCCAGAACGGACGAACGAAACACTGGCTGTAAATAGAAACATTTTTGACACTGTGTCGAGAAAGCCTATCAGCCTTCTACTGGGGCCTATCTGGGCCTACAGAGGTTACCAGATCAGACATCCTTTAGTCACTCTATAATTGATGATACAAATAACTGAGAGTTAAACTGAGAATGAAAGCACTTTTTTTTCTAAGTTGTTTTTTTTTTGGCCTTTTATTGCCTTTAATGGATAGTGACAGCTGAAGGTAGACAGGAAAGGGGGGTAGAGAGAGGGGATGACACGCAGCAAAGGGCTGCAGGTTGGATTCAAACCCTGGGCTGCTGCAGCAACTTGATACATGGTCGCCAGCTCTACCAGGTGAGCTAACCGGGCGAATGAAGGCACTTTTGAGTAGTGAACCTGAGGTCACCTGCAGTCTCGTGTGCTTTCATTGGTACAGGACACGTTCTTCCGTTACCTCAAGTCACCGGTGTACAAAGAAATCCAGAAGAAGGCACTGAACCCTGAGCCTCATAACTTCAGGTAAACCAATCTCATCCCTTTTAAAATATGCATGTGATTCTTTGCCGTTTAATTTTTCATCTTTCAATGCTGTGAGCGTCACAAATGAAATTCCATTGACCTCTGGTACATTGGTGTGGAGGCAAAAATCTTAAAGACAAAGCTTTTTTTGGCGTTATCGGTCATAGAGGTGTCTGCCTTCTCTCCAATATAAAGGAACCAGAAGGTACTTGGCTTGTGGCGCCAAATGTGCCAAAAAAATACATTTGAAAAACTCAACAGCCATGTCTCTCTGGTCAGTGTACTTTGTGGCCAATGGGTCGTTGTTGTTTTTTTCAAAAGAAAATAAATGGAAAATGAGTAAGGGGCGTTTTTGTTTTTATTTTTATATTAGAAAACAGGTCATATTTTTATTTTTAAATTGGCAGGTGTAGTTTGGTAGAAAGAAAATAGTTCCTACAGGAAACTGCTCACAACAAGGTCTGTGGATTATTTTGAGTAACCTGGTCATGGTTTCTGGAAAGAGACATTGCTGCTTTACATAGCTTTACAATCATCTTGAGCTCTTCATGTTTCTGTTTCCACCCTAGTCCGGCCCAGCTAGAGCAAAATGCGCGGAACCTAAGCCCAGGCATCCATCCCATCATCCTCTGGCAGCAGGAAGAGGAAGAGAATGCCAAGGCCGCTGCTGCCTCCGCCCCTGTTGACGTCAAGGCCATGATGAGCAAAATAGACAGGAAGAAGTAGAGATATGCAGTGGAAGTGTGTGTGTGGGCAGGGTTCTACATGTCACGTCACACACACGATACCAACACAGGAACCAGCCCTCTGTTATAGGCTGCGTAGTATATTCTGTATATATATATATATATTTGCTTTGTTCTTCAGTGTCATGCCAATGGATGTTGTTCTGTTTCAGCAAATTATTAAATGTGTATATTACTGTTCTAAATGTCATATATATAATCATGAATATTTCTTGTTGGAAACCCAATCAATCAACTGCAAACAGACAAAACGACTCTTGTTCTTGTAAGAGGGATGGGGTTTTATATGCCTGTGCCCAGGGGTCCGATGTCTCATAATGCAGTCATGGTTTTCATGGATACATATTTAAATAAAAGACATTAGAATTAGGCTGTAAATATCAGACATATAATTGAAACTGATGACCTTCCCTGTTTGTTAGAAAGTGAATTTCAGAGACTTGCTAACTATGTTTTGTGTCTATACAGTTTACACAAATGTTACTGTAACTCATGTTAAATACTAGACACTTTTTAGAAAATATTTTTATTATATATATTACACTAGCTGCTTTGTCCAAAGCCAAGCCTATTGTTTGTCAGATTTTCACTAGAGCTGATTAAACAGCATTTTCTTAGTTATGTTTCATGCATATTACTTCATACAAGATATGAAGGTGTGAACACTGAAGGCACTATAGCTTCTGTTACTGCAGTATGTATATACTGCTGCCTACAAGACATGTTTTATCAGTTTTACTAAAATGTCTATATTCTACAAACTACTAACCAGTCACAAGTTAAAGAGAGCTAATTTATCTTTGGAAAATTTTGTACATTGTGTAATTCTGATTATCTCCCCAAATCTAATAAATGAGATTGAGCCAAGTCATAGCAGACTTCAGATCATTGTGTTTATGTTATATGTAATAAATAATTATAATATTGAACTGTCAGTACAGTTAATGGCAATTCTTTTAACAGAGGTGAAGCTGACTATTCAGCCTGTAAAAATGTGCTATATCATTCCTTTTGTGGCTCTGTAGGCACTTTCTACTCTGATGACATTATAGTTATCTCAGATTGTGCTTGAGATGGGAAATTTTAAACAGAAAGTCTGTTTTACAAAATGGGGGCCAGTAGTTTGAAAGGTACAGGCATTCACCAAACAGGGAGGGTCTTAACAAAAACATGCTCTTGGTTGCATTATGGAAAGTGTAGGATCCAGTATTTTTTGGAACTTAACCCATATTGACTAAAGGTCAGGAATCAGGATGTCCCTTAATGTTGTTCTGGGCTTCTGTAGAAACATGGTGGTTCCACATGGTGTACTCCATGAAAGGCAACAAAAAAAGATTCTTGTTTTCAGCTGATTATACACTAATGGTGTCATGATTACCATGTCCACCACCTTAGTTTGGTGTGTTAGTTTACATGCTAACATTTGTCCAGCTGAGGCTGATGGGAATGCCTTTAGTGTTAGAGGTATTTTGTCATAAACCATTGAGTTGGACAAATACAAATTTTTACCTTTGGCACTAAATGTAAGGTTAGATAATCAAGTTATTACAATTCATCCTGAGGGAACATTAATGCATGCATACCACATTTCAATTTCTGGACCACAGTGGTGGACGAACCAACTGAACCATCCATGCAGCATATGGCTAAAAATTACAGAATGTACAAAATTCCATTACTTATATTTATGTTATCAGAAGTTCTCAAAGAAGGCATTTCGGTGTAAGCCGGGGATAACTCAGAAGCCAGGTTCACACAAAGAATGCAGGTAAGTATGCAAACAATTCCGCTCGCTTTGCTGCTGCTCGACTATGCATACGTGTTGGTAAAAAAAAAAAAGTGCTAGCATTGACAATACTCAGTAGTACTGTCAGTGCTTGCTAGCACATGAATTACACTTTTCTCATTTCCATATGTTCAGTTTCATTTGCATCAATTAATCAAGTAAAGTGAATCACACAGGACACATTCTTCAAAAGACAAAATTATATTTACTATACAGAGTATTTTTACAAAGTTTTTGCGAAGGCAAATAAAAAGTCTGGAGCAATAAAGGGTTATTTGGCCATGCCAGACAGCCAGCTGAGTTTGAATAAAGATGGAGCGGCTGTGTCTTCGTCCTGATCAGCAAGCTGTCTGAACAGGCTGCCCGGCCGGAAGCTGTCCTCACTGTTTGCTGTGGAGGACGGAGGTGCCTGCTGGAGGAAGGAGAAAACACGAGCAAACATTAAAAAAACCTGGTAGATCCAGGGTCACAGTAAAGAAAATGAGAACATGTAGCAGCTCTAAAGCGGTTTTGAACTAGGGATTATTTAATCATGTCCAGAGGAAAATGTGGTAGTGGGTGCAAGTGTTACTATGGAACACCTGAGCCAATGAGTCACAGAAAACCTGGATTATTCTGCTGTCTGTGCTCACCACCAAACACTGATCATTTTGGAAACTAGTGTTGGAAATAGTTGGAAGTTTGCCGTCTTATCAAGAGTCATCAAAATAACAAATAGATTTTACCTGTTTACTGTGTACCCAGTACAGAGCTCTGTTGGATTCCGTATACCCCTAAATGGGGTATAGATTTTTAAAAGGTCCAGTGTGTAATGTTTAGGGGGACCTATAGTCAGAAATGGAATATAACATTCATAGCTATGTTTTCATTACTGTATAATCACCTGAAAATAAGAATCATTGCGTTTTTGTTACCTTAGAGTGAGCCGTTCATATGTTGAACCACTATGTTTCTACAGTAGCCCAGAATAGACTAACCAAACACTAATAGATACGGCCAGTTGTGTTTTTTGTGCAATTGTGGGGCCAACTTTTCTCTTGCAGTTAAAAGGGTGAAATTAGTGAGTTTCAAGTTGCAACTGCACCACTTGATGCCACTACATCGTACACACTGGTCCTGTTAGAAAGGCTGGACTTCTACTGCAGAGTAACTGTAGAACTGTGTGTTTAGTTCAGGGACTATGCGCCACCTACTGGCTGGCTGTATTAATGCTCACGGTTAGAAGGAAGACGGCTGACAGAGCTGCGGAGTTGTCCCAATTAATGTTGTGCGTTCTTGAATACTTGTAAGTACTTCCTCTTTGTTGTTCTTTAGGTTGTGTGGAGACAGCTCTTTCTCCCTGATTCAAGTGCTTAGATTACCATTTTGCCTGTATGCTAGCTACTATGCTATTAATGTTAGCTCTAGCCTGGTCGTTTATCTGTATTGTTATTACATCATATATTCCATTGTAATATGGGTTTATGCTGTTGTATATTATTTAAGATTATAAGTCTGAAATTATATTGTTAACTTTGTGTTACTGATTAGTGATGTTAATTATCCAATAACGGGCTGCAGGTTATTATTGACATTTAAGTTGATATAAGTAATTTCTCACAGGTTAAGCCTTACAGGATGATCATAGTATTTAATTTGTGAAATGGTGTATAATTTATAGTTACACGGTTTGTCTGATAACACTGTACTTGTTATCTCTCTTGTTTCTGTAGCACCACAACTCATAGAATAGAATAGCCATCTACATCTGTAATCATCACTATACCTACATCAAAAGCCTACAATAAAGAACGTATATTGGATTCTGGATTGTTTCGTTGTGTTCTGACCGACACACAGTGGCGAGTGTAACAGATCCACCAGCCTCAGTTTGTATATTTGCGGCTTCTCAGCTACAGGTCCTTTAGGTCAAGTAAGTCAGCCAGTAGGATTGGACAATTGTACGAATATATTGGGTGGATTTTTTATCATTTCATTTAGCTAATTTGATGGTCACGGTGAGCCGAAGAACGAGTAAGAAGTTATACAGCCAGAACATTTTCACATCTAACTCTGAGTTTATTTCGACCAGTTTGACAACAGGGAGTACATCATTTATAGTGGAGGTCAGGCATCACAGCAAGTCAAAATACTTTAATATCCAACTTAAAATCTACAGACTAACCAACACAGTATTTTTGTTCCTATCGAGTCTGAAATGTGTTTTACGATGACCAAACAAGGCAATTAAGCTAGAATTCATTTGGTGAAAGAGAGAAACCTGAATTCAGAAGGTGTATGGTTGTGTTTTTCTGTTTAGGAGATGGGACCTGTTTAGCCTAGCTTAACAGGGGAAACCTGCTGGCCATGCTCAGTCCTAATTGATAAAATCCAGCTTCTAATAGCGCCAAAGCAAACTGATACTGATGTCATTGTGTGACTGTTGATCAGAAAGCCAACTAAATTATTTTCCCAAAATGTCAACAGGGTACAGGGAAATGAGGGATTCTGGACAAATCCTAACTTGAGCTTGAACTTGAGATTTTTTTTTTTACTTCTGCTCAACACAAACTTAGTAATAATGTGTCACACTCAAGATGGGATTGGTCCACTCAAACAGGTAAAAATGCCCCAGGGTCACTGTTGCTGTGCTGATCTGAGCTACATTCTGAGCCCAAGCAGAGATTAGTGAGAAGGAAAAAGCAGAGCAGCACTCAGTAAAGCAACCCATCAGTAAATAACATACTGTCGCACTGTACTAACTGTACTGTTGCACCAAACCAAGACACACACACACACACACACACACACACGCTGATGAACTTGCCTGGATATCTTGCACTCAAAAATGCTGGGAAGGCAGAGGGTGTAACAGACAATGTTAACCCAGAGTGGAGCGAAACAATGAAACAGAGAAATGAAGACATACTGTGGTTGGCAGCATATGGAACAAGAGCAGAGAAACAAAACAGTGTCAGACACCAGAGCCCGGCTCTGTTACTCACCAGCTGGTGAGGAGCATCTGAGCTCCTGGAGGCCGACTTTGATTTGCGCACGTTGGACATGCTGAGAGGCAGCAACCCAAACCTGTGGAGGATGGTGGGAGTTAGGTCATATGAAAAAATAGCTAGTCAATATAGTCACTATAGTAATGTGATAGTCACAAATGAGTATAATAATAATAATTTAAATGATATGTGTACACATACAAATCATTCAAAAAAACTGTCGAAACAGCGCTAAATTTGAGCCATTTGGGA